GACAGCCTGCGCCTGGCCTCCGATGGAAGGAAAGTCTCACAGCAGGTCAGTCACGCAGAAAGCATGCATAGGGGGCAAGGGCTGGGATCGTACGGGACCCATGTCCTAGTTCTGCATGTCTGGGTGTGAATATGCCCTCCCAGGAGCCGCAGGGAATAATGATAGTAGCAATGAGATGATAGTAATAATAATACTTTTGAGCATTCAGTGTTCTGTTTGTGTCTTATGTGTATCTACTCATTCAACTGCAACAGCTCCTTCAGGAAGTATTATAATTGTTATCACCTGCATTTTACAAAAAAAAAAGTCATACCCTGTTTCTACTAGATTACAGAAATAGAGCCTAGACATTCAGTACTTCTGAATGTTTCATGTGTGTTAGGGGTAGAGGCTGCCCATCCGTTTATTCAAGATCTTAGTATTGTTCAGTCTACTACTTTCCTGGGGCCACTGTGACTAGAAAGTACCACAAACTGGGTGGCTTGAAACAACAGAAACCTACTGCCTCAGAGATCTGGGGGTTAGGAGTCTGAAATCAAAGCACTGGGAGTTGCGTGCTCCCTCTGAGATCTGCAGGAAATCCTTCCCTGCCCCTTCTAGCTCTGCTGGTTGGTTTGTCGGCAGCTGTTAGCGTCCCTTGGCTTGCAGGGGCATTGCTCCAGTCTCTGCCTTCATCCTTACCTGGCATTCTCTGCGTGTCTTCACATAGTCTTCCTTCTGTGTGTGCGTGTGTCCAGATTTCCCCCCCTCTTTAAGGGAAATACAATCCAGTTATATTTGGATTAGGTACCACCTTAATGACTTCATTTTAACTGGGTTAAATCTGCATAGATCCTATTTACAAATAAAATCACATTGTGAGTACAGGTGGTTAGGACTTCAGCATGTCTTTTGGTTGAGATTAGGGGTACACAAGTCAACCTGTAACACCTGGTATTGTGGTAAAGGAAAGTGATACAAAGATGTATGGGACATCTTCCCTGCCACGAAGCATCTCACAGTGTAATCAAATAGCCATGAAAGGAGCTGGAAATTCACCATAGGGTGTCAGATACTTGGGTTAAGTGAAGTCCTGGGTACTATATGGATGCTGTAGCAAACTGGTCATGAAAGATAAAGCTGACTTAGAAGTAAAAAAGAATATGCAAAAGACAAAAAAAGTGAGTGAACGTGATACACTGGAAACTTTGAAGAAGTTGTGTACAGGTAGCATTTAGAGAGTGGATGCAGATAAGGGGAGAAGAAACATGGTGAGAAATAAAACTGAACTGGTTGGGGACAAAACCAGGGAGGGCTTTGTGTATCATTAAAAAGGATTTGGATTTGCTTCCCTACAGTAGGAAATTACGGATGGATTTTTAAGATAGAGATTGACCTATTAAAATATGTGTGGGGTTAGATATGGGAGGTATTTAGGAAATAAAAAGAAGAGGACATAATGGATATGATGGAGGGAAAGGAAACAGTGCAAAGGAGGACCCTCTCTCTCTAGTACTGACAACCGGCTAGGGTACTGGGTCAATCTGAATATGAAAATTTAGCTAAAAGATCTACTTTGAGGAGAAAGGATACAGTTCAGTTTGGGACATTTCAAGGAATCTGAGATGCCTGAAATATCAACAAGTTAGTTTGGGGAAGAAGCAGTTGAATCTGCGTGTCTAGGATGTGGCTCAGAACTTACATATGGGAAGCACCCACAGGTAGGGGTAGGGAGATCACTGGGGGTGGGGGGTTGTTAGCAGAGTGAGAAGAGGATCTTAAAGAAGACCATAACTCAAACCCGTGTGACTAGCAACTTCCTAAGGTTTAGATCACTGATTCCGAATCTTTTCAACATTATGGCATATGGTGAAAATGAATGAACATTTGTTTACATTATGCATAACCTGTAGACTCCTGTTGTTCCACACCCATGGTCAATTCTGTAGCATCACTATCTCTAGCACAACTGTATCACCTTGGAGCACCTGACATGCCAATGGTGAAGCTCTCAGAAAAAGGTAATCCCTAATGAAGTGATCAAAGAGGAGTGATGAACTAGAAGACTGAAGAGATCCTAAAATGGAGAAATGATTTGCAGCGTTAATACCTCAGAAAGCTCAAGATAATGACTTTGTAGTGCCTACTGCACTTAGCAGCAGAATCCTTGATGATTTTGACCAGATCAGATTCTATGGGATGATGGATGCAGAAATCACCTTGCATCAAATGAGAAACTGAGAATTGGAGTTTGAAGCATCAAGTTCAGACTACTTTTTCTAATTGTTTTGTTACTACAAGGAAGGAGAGAAATGTGTGATCATTAGATAAGAAAAATCAGAGCAAAATTTTAAGTTGGGAGTGTTTTGAGCATGATTTTATGCTGAAGGAAATAAGCCAGAGGAGAGAGAGAGAGAGAGGTTATTTTAGATGAGAGGAGATAGCCAGTGAGTTGTGGAAGCAGGCACTGATGACCTCAGGGTTCAGGTGAAGTTATTAATCTTTCTTAAAAAGTATTTTTAAAAATTCTGATTTGTTTGGTTTAGGGGGGAGGTAAACTAGGTTTATTTATTTTGATGGAGTTTTGGGGGCGTTTTACCCAGGACCTTGTGCATGCTAAGCACACACTGTACCACTGAGCTATACTCTCCCCTGCTGAAGTTATTAATCGTGGATGGAGGAGGAACTTCTCATTGTAAGACGTCAGGATAGGAGGAAAAGATGCAAGTGGATACAGACATATTAATGAGTTTGGAAAGCATGATATTCTCTGTGAAATAGGATACTAGGAGTTTTTTCAGTATAACAAAAATCCTAGTCCTAGGACAGTCAAAAAGAGAAATGAATATCAGAAATGCTGTTGTGGGGAATGGTAGCAAGAACTAAAGATGGGGCTAATATGTGGGATGTGTGAAGAAGTGTGTGATGGATGGTATCAAGATATAGGAAAGAGAAAATCATACACCAGGAGCCAGAGCCTGCAATGAATGTGGAGAAGAGACCTGGAAGTCAACAGATGACAATAACTAGGTGGAGGGTGGCAACATCAAAGGAGGAGGCAGTCTTACAGGAGGGTGTGTCAACAATCAGTAGAAGAAGGTATTGGATCTTGAAATCTGGATACTCTATTTAGTGGAGCCTGAAGGAAACAGTCACCGTGCAAAAAATCTGCTGAGTAAAAAGTAGGGCGAGCAGTGTTCCTGGAAATAACCTTCCTTGGTACCCTGTGAACTATGGATGGATAAGAGATAGGTATTTGGGGAGGGTCTTCCAAGAACCAAGACAAACTGTGGTCTGAGGATCAGCAGCAATGCCTCACTTGGGAGCTTATTAGAAATACAACATACCAAAATGTGTGGGATGCAGCAAAAGCCCTTCTAGGAGGGAAGTTCACAGCAATAAACATCTACATCTTTAAGAAAAAATGAAGGAGCTCTAATAAACAACCTAAATTTATAACTCAAGGGACTAAAACAAAGAAGAAGAAACTAAGCATGAAACTAGCAGAAGGAAGCAAATGAAAAGGATCAGAGAGTATGCTTTTCTCTGTTGACTGAACTTCTCTTCCATCCAAATCGCGGTCACGCTAAATTGGAAGGTAAGAAGAGAAAAACAAAGTAAAGCGTAACTTCCAGTTTATTGGTTACTTTACTTCAGGGGGAGCTTTGAGCAGGAGAAGCTAAATTCAAGACCGTTGTGCCATTGTGCAAGAGCACTTTATACAAGAAGATGCATCTTTAATGGTCCCAGTGATTCACTTGAATCATGTTTTGAATGTCTTTTTTCCCCTCTAATTAAAGTTGGGCTCTTTGCCTTGGTTCTTTTTTAAAGGTTGTATGTGTGTTTGTGTCCGTATTTTTCAATGCTTTGTTTGGTTTCTGGTCCAAATGGTGAGATACCTTTTGAAATACTAGTTGGACTGTCATAAAGAACAATAAATTAAAGTCAGATTCAATGACTTTAATGCTTATAGTAGAGCAACTACAATGTACTGAATACACATTCATTTAGGTGAATCCCAGTAAGTCTATGGGATAGGTTTTGTTTATGCCAGTGAGTGGTTTTCCCAAAGTAGCTGGTCAACTAAAGAACCAGGAGTCCAATGCAGTTTTCACTACAGCAAACCTGACCAGGTAGAAGTTTCCATCCCTTACAAGTCTTTAGGCAATTTGTGTTTTTATAGCCTTAAAAGAATTTTGAAGAATCTTAATTTGGGGGGCTATAGTGAAATACAGCAAGTGTTCAATAGAGTCTTTGAGGAATAGACGTGTGTGAGTGTACGCTCATACACACCTTGCCCTGGGCGTGTGTGCCTGTTGGTGGCCAGGCAAAGAGGAATGTTGTAAGAAGTATATGAGTTGTTTTAAAGAGTGATCACTTTGCAACAGGAAACATTTTCACTTGTCCTTGTCCTATGTCTTTTTCTTTCTTTTAAATAAAGGAGAGATTGTTTACAGCAGCTCAGCTCTATTTTGTCACACATCATTAAAATGATCAGGCTGTTCACAAGAGCCAGATTTTTAGGTAATAATGAATTTCTGATACCCAGAAGCCAGACAGATTAGGTAATTCTGCTGATTCAGTCAGGTTTTGGAGGGGGGGGTCTTTTAAATACATGGTTTTCTCAAACTAAGAGAAAATTAATGGCTTTAAAAGCATCTAAATATAAAGAGAAATATCCTAAAACTCCACACTAATGGGTGTATCTCATTCTACATTTCTCTCTGCATCAGGGAAGTTAAAATGGTAGTGGAAACAGACCAAAGGGCAGTGATGATTTTAAAGTGCACTGTATTCCTAGTTTAATTTGTCCAACATGTCATTAACTTTAATAATATAGATTATATTTAAAAAAATGGGGGGTGGGAACTGACTATTTAAAGTGTCAACTCTAAGTTCATTTCAAATGCAACTTTTGCATGCAATAATAAAGAATATGCACCCAGACATTTTAGCATTACTACTCTAACTCAAACATTTCCTGTCTCCAGTGTTTAAAAAAAATTGCAAATATACAGTACCTTGTGTACATTCTTTTTTCTCTTCCTGCCAGCAGATAGATTCTCCCTTGTGTTCCTAGACACCAAGGATGTCGTCAGCTGTTATGAGAAAAGACAGGTTCCTAAATTCAGACCTTGAAGGAGAAAATCGTTTTACTTCACCTTTAGTAAAGATTTCATTTGTAAATGTTCCTGTCAATTGAAACATACCAAAGAAGACAGTGACTGAACACTGCAGCAGAGCAATGTGGCAGAGGGAAATTAAGCAGTGGCAGAGACTGGAGATGCTGGGATTTGCCATCTGTGTAGACACGAATCCTTTCAAGATCATAAATCGCTCTTACAATTCCATCATTGGGTAAAGGTCACCTACCTTTATGTATTCAACCCAACCCTCATTCCATTTAGAAAACTGGAGCTCAATCACAAAATGAATGAGGATGTCTTGGAATATGACTAAATTAGATTTCACAAAGGAAAGTGGATATAAAGTCATAAAATCTACAGAGAGAGAGAGAAAGGTTAAAGGCAGCTATCCAAGATCAACTTCAGCTTACAAGAGATTTTTGTTCTTAACTGTCCCTGCATTTCTGTTCCCACTGAAGAACTTGAGGCAGAGAAAGAAGCCCACTGGGCAACAGGTGAGGGGCACAACAGGACCCTCCAAAAGGCATAAATGGTGCATTAGAAACTTGACCTCATTTTCAACAAAAAGAGCCTTATCCTCTTGAGATCTCAAGAATACTTCTGTGGTCCCCCCTCACCCCCTTTTAAAAACATACATAGTCACAGTCATTTCTTTAGGCTGTTGTAGCTTACAGAATTTGGGGGGATCTTCCATAAATCTGAAGGTGGGGCTGTATTTTGCTTGCTTTGTTTCCCTATTGACTAAGTTACTAGGTGACACTGGGCAAATCCTTCATATTTCCCATAAATCAGTGTCTTCATCTCCACTAATACATCTTGGGAACCAGGAACGTGGTCAGCTCTACTTGCAGATAGTGACAAAGAGCATAATAATTTATAGCAAAAATTTATTTTATTATCAATAATATACCTTTAAGTATCTTTAAGAAATTAAGATTTGTCTAAATCTAGGTTGGTTGCTTTTTGTTTTTATCTTCATCTTGTGAGTTAACACACCGTCAGAACTGAACTGAACTGAACTGAGAAAAGTTGTTCTAGATCAATTTTGCAGGCAGTGCTCCTACTTCATGTTCAGTCCTCCTCTGTTCCCTGCTGACATGACCTCAAGATTTCCACAGGGACACCTGGAAGCCGAAGTCATAAATTTGGGAAGTATGTCATTTTGTTTCTATGTAGATCTCTCAGTAGCTACCTGTACCAATGTTCCTTTGGCCAAATTTAATTTACAAGGTGAACCAAACAGTCAGCTGTACTAGTAGATGTGTGCTATCCCCGGGGGACAAGACATCATTCTGTCCTTGTTGAATTGCATCTTGGGTTTTCCAGTTTTTGCGTATGTGATTTTGTTAGTTTATTTTTAGATTGGTACGCTTTAGGGAAAAAAACACACACACACACACACACAAGGGTACCTGAGGCTATTTTTAAAGAACTATCACTATAAAATTAATTTTAAAGGGAAAAATAAGGATGAGAGGAAAGGCAATAAATAGAATGATGTCTTGATCCCCTGGGATAGCTCTGTCTTAACTACAGTAGAGAAAGCCAGTGAAGGCAAGAATGGTTGTGAACTAGAGGAAAATGAACCTTTCCTGTGACGTCTCGGGTAGTTGGAGCCCAGTGTGACAGAAGAAAGTAACATCAGTTGAAATACTCAAAGTAGTGTTGTTTCCCATGAAATTTTAATTGAAGTCCCCACTCTACTTACGTGGAAGCCTATCAGGGCTATTCAGCTACAACCACCAGAAGGAAATTTCTCATTTTTATACTCAAAGCTGGTTTACATAGCTGTGACTGCATGTTTATTTTATGCAACTTCTGATCCCGTGCGAGGTGTGTAAATACTAAAGACTGTGCGTACGATGCTTTGTGCATGGTTGATGGTGAGGGGTCATCACTCAGTACGAGACCCCATTTCAGACAGAGAACAATGGCTAGCACTCAGGAGGGAAGAGCAATTACTTGCTCTTACATCAGGACTGTCAGGAAAGGATAGTACCAAGTCCTGTGCAACAGGCAGAAAAACTATTTCGGAGTTAAGAGCAAAAGGCAATGAGTAAGAGTGTAGGTTAGCTCCGGGCTGGCGTAATAGATTCACTTCTAAGGGTGAAAGGTAATAGGGGAGGAATTGGTAAATGCAAACTTGCCTAACTTTAAAATTTAGCCTCCGGGTGGCTTGGAGTGAAAAGATTCTTTGAGATAATTATGAACTTTGGGCATTCAGAGTCTAAGTACAGTATTTATTATATTCCTGTTTTAAAAAAAAACTATGCACTGAATATTTGAAATAGACTTTAAGATACACTAAATTTATTTTAAAGTATATTGAAATGTTGAACGAAAAACATCTCTAAATTGTACATTCATTGACTCTTCTTATTTCATATTTCATTCCATATTTATGTGCTCTAAAGGTTTGAATTCAAAATATTATATGTACAGCTACTAGTACAGCTGACTGTTTCATAAATAGAATTAATCCCACATCTATTTACTTTCATAAAACATAATGTAAGAAGATGAAAGGTACCGATTACTGAATATATAACAGGGCTGAGCAACCAGTCACTTTATATTAATTCAAATCCCTGGCCAACATCAGAACTCCTCACTTCTGTCCACATGGACCACATGGTAGCCTTTGCAGTGGTGAAATTCACACACGAGTATTACAGATCACTTTGAGCAAGGCTGCACGGTGGCTCCTTCAGAGAACATCGCAATCAGAACGTACTTAGTCCCAGATCTCAAGATAATTAGAATGCCCAGAGATTTAGAACTGTCGGGCTAACCAAAGTGGAATATTTGGGAGAAACCCAGAATTTACCCATCTCCTTCTCTATTTAAAACTAAATGTTTAATGACTAATATTTTGAGCATTTGGCTAACTTTTCACTGAGTAATTTGGTTAAAATTTCCCTTTGCAGACCCCCCCCCCATCTCCTTTTCAACTACAAGCTCCTTAATTTACACCTTGATAACTTCAAGCCTATATTACTTCACAACATGATTCCTGCCTGAGCCTATTTTTCAGTGTTCAGTCTTCTCTTATATCAGGCTATCTTAAAAACCACTTCCAATTGAAAGTCTCGTTTGTTAAAAAAAAAGGAAAAATTGAGTATTATTACCTGTTGGAAAAAAAATGGTAGAATATAGAAAAGAATAATAAAAAAGATATAATCACCCCAAATTTCACAGTAGGGAAAACCACAGTTAATATTTGATTGGTTTCTGTTCAAACTTCTCTAAGAGTAAATCAACATTGAGAGAGAGAGATTTGACAAAATTGAGATTGATTTGAATATATTGCAATCTGATTTGTCTTAATTTAGCAATACTTGAAATGCATTTTTCATGTGTTAACTATCATTTAAGATAAGTTTTCATGGCTTTGAATTATCCCAGTATATGGCTGTACCTAAGTTACTTAAGTAGTTTAATTATTTAGACATAGAAATCATTTTCAATTTTTCACTGTTATAAAGAACACAGCAATAACCGTATAGGTACTTAAATTTCTAATCTTTTTTTAAGTAAGTTCTCTGAAGTGAACTATTAGGTCTAAGGTTAGGGACTTTTTTTTTAAGTTTTTATCTAATGGTTGCATTTCCTTACCAATGTTCCTTCATGTTTCTCTTAGATAATTTTTCTCACAGTTGCTATTCAGCATAGATGGAATACCGTCTGGTTTCTAAACTGGACTGCTTCTGAATAAGAAGACCACAGTCTATACCTTTGGTAACATCTCTAATTACATTCGCAACATGCTAATCTCACATAAACATTGTTCAGTTAATAACTTTTTCTCCTAATAGTGCTTGCAAAGCTCTACTGTTTTTCAGACAGTTCCCTTTCTTTTTTTAAATAAGGAGTTTGTTCCAAAATAAATATGCTGTAAGAAGAAATATTTTAACACAGTTCTTTCAGAGATAATTTAGTTGATGTAACAGGTTGTGGTCTGAGAATGTTGCATGGAACAAATTTAAATTACACCCCATGTTTGGGTGAGCCCAAAGACCGGTGTTTTACTGGGAGTTCCTGTGTCCGAAAACTGGATCAGGGTAAGTTATATACCTATTTGACCCTTGTGCATCAAGGCTACTTCCTCATGTTTTGACGAGCTCTCATTTTTGAACTTTAATTGCCTTCAAGGGGTTGCTCTGAACTATTTTTGTAAGCACAGTTGGCATGCAAGATGACTGTAGGATCAAAGGGTTGAAAATCTGGTGAAGAGATAACGTAGAAAAGAAAGTTTCCATAGCAACACCTTCACAGCCCTCTGGCACCATTCACCGCCACCCAGCAGGTCTCTGCCTCCTACGGTGAGTAAGAGAAACCTTCACTGCACCATATTTTATGTACAAAGTGTATCATTTACTTCCAAATTATCAGTGATTATTTAGGTAAACTTGTTCAAATGAAATATTTTTCTGTTGGGAAAAATTCTTCAAATTCAATTAAGAGAAATTTGTCTTCATTGAATGCTTTTTGACATAGCAGTGAGGTTATTCAGAAACAAATTAACCTTATGAAGGGAGGATCAACATGTGGAAGCAGGTGGAAAAAAGCAGATTACAAAACAACATCTCCTTTATGATTATGTTTGCATGTATTTCTGTGTATTATGTTTTTCAGTCTGAAAGCATATAAAATAAACATAAATTTCCTAGAAGTAACTAGTGTTTTACTCTAGGTACATATACCTTAGTTAAAAAATTACTGTTGTCAGATTTTGCCTAAATTATGTATGCAATTAGGACTTCACTTGTAGTCCTAAAGGTAGAGTTTGCCCAGTTAGTGAAGTGTGACGTCCATTAGGTCACCTTTAATTACAAATGGGACACAGGCCAAATACTCTGGTTGCAACTGAATTATTTTCTTTCTTGAAGGTTCTCATACTAAAATTTTCCAAATAATTATTCCAAGTTTTAGCAAAGATTTACTAACCCTCTTAGTCAAAAATCTTATAGTATAGAAAAAAAAATGCTTTATTCCCATGCTAATCCCCCATGAAAGTACATAAATTTATAGACACAGTATCCATCTGGAGCTTCACATATTTGCTTTTGTCCTTGATGTTAGGAAGAATATTATCCTTATCTCTAAATGCACAGATGTAGTCTGAGGTTAGACTTTTCTCGAACAAATGCAAGGGAATTAAAAGCATTGTCTCCCCTGATAAAAATACCAAAGCTTCTTTTTTATATAAACTGGTGATAATTAATAGTGATAACATAACTGAGTTCATATATGCGATGTTTAAAAGCATTGTTTGAAATTTCCTAAGTCTGATGCAATAATAAAACATTTCATTCTTTTAAAATAAAAATACAGGCCTAATTATTTGGTCATTTTGTTTGCCCCGAGTGCATATTTTAAATAACTCACTCGGTTTTGAGGAATTTAAAACGTCACCTAATTCTTTCTTAAATGTGAACTTGCTAGTTTTAGTTCTTACAAACCACAAAGGATTAGAAGATCTTTATATCTTATTTCAAAATAAAACAGGAATTTTGATACTATCTTTTGTTTTTGAATACTGTTTTATTGATTGCCAACAATGCAGTGGGCAACATATTAAATAAAGAAAGCTTAATTTTAGATGACTAGATTTTTTAAAAAGTGATAAAAGTTGCAAGTACTTTTAATGCAGATAACATGGATCAGTTTGAGTATGAGTAGGAAATAATTTGATACTTTAGTCATGGGTCCCCACCGAGTCCAAAGATGGCCTAATTCTGTGCAGAGTAAGGGGCGGTCAACTGAGATTTGTTAATAATCATTTTAACAATGATGGTCAATTAGGTGGTTTATATATATTGTCCCATAGATTCTTTACAATGACTTAGTAATAGTTATTAGGACCAGGTATTAGTTTCCTATTGCTGCTGTATCTAGTCACCCCAAATTTAGTTGATTAAATGAGAAAAATCTATTAATCTACAGTTCTGGATGTCAGAAATCCAAATGGGTCCCATTGGTCTATAATCAAGGTGCTGCAGGGCTGCATTCCTTCTGGAGGCTGTAGGGGCGAATTCCTTTCCTTCCCTTTTCCAGCTTCTCGAGGCTGCCCTGGTTCCTTGGCTCCATCTTGAAAGCCAGCATTCACATCACTCCTAACTTTTCTTCTGTTGTCACATCTCCTTTAACCTTGATTCTTCTGCCACCCTTTTTCACTTACAAGGCCTTAGCCTGTGATTCTGTTGGTACCTTCCAGTAAATTTGAGCTAATCTCTGCATCTCATGATTCTTCACTTAGTCACAATCTGCAAGGTGCCTTTGTTTCATTCTAGGAATCAAGACATGGACATCTTTGGGGAGCCATTTTTCTCACATGTCAAATATTTTTCCCTTAATGAATAAACAACATGCATCTATTGTTAGGTTTTCTGCCAAAATAAGATTTTTCTTTTCCCCAAATGTTTTGAGCATTTTATGACTGATTGCCATTTTCACCCAACCTGAAGAACTAAAAGAAACATTAAGAGATACCAGTGTAACATAAATAGATCATTTGAACGTAAAATTGTCACAATGAGGGTATGGATAAAAATGCCTTATTGATAATAAGTTCGATAAAACATTTTGGTAACCTTTGACCTATCACTTCATTCTGGAAATTCTGACCTTTGATGGTGTTCTCTTCTCACTCCAGGAAAGAGAGAGAAAGGAAGGTTTGCACACTTGCCATTGCCTATTGGGATTCAAAAATGTCTTTGGAACAATAGCTGGTTAAGAGAGCTGAGAGTTGGCATGGCCTCTTCTTTGGCCTTGAATGATCGCCATGGGGTGTTTTTCTCCGACTCTCCTAAAGGGTAAATCAGAGTTTATCAGTCTCATTAATCTGGGCTTCCACTGGGGCCCGGGTGAAAAGGTTTAGAATGTGATCAGTATGCAGCTTCCATGACCTTTCTTTTGAATAGGGATCTTAGCAAGGGAGAGAGACCTCGTGTAAGCCTCAACCTCCACAGGAGGTGGTTTGTACATTTCTATATGGGGATGAAGGGAACTATATCGAAGTCAATTCAACAGAGATAGCGAAAAGGTCGCTGGGACTGTATTCTCATGTCAGGTATTCTCAATACAGCCCGAGTGGGTCCAGCTTTAATTTTCTGCTCCTCAACCTGTTTAGTCTCAGTGAAGTTTTATTAACAAGTATGGCAGATATCTTTATCATTTTCCTATAAAATTGTCTTGATCAGAGTCAGAGAGGAAGGACTGGCATTGGAGGACTATTGAATGTCTGTAATTCACCAGAGGTGCCTTGTTTTCATACTTGGCATCTTTTAAGGGGTATACAACAAAAAAAGGGGTGGGGAAAATCCAAGTCTTGTTTGGGTATATTTGAGCATCATACGTGTAGAATATAATCAAGGTGTTTTTGTATCTTTGCTTCCGTCTGTCTCTGACACTACCATAGCTTAAAAGAATAACTCCTTAATTCTGGTGAAGGAGAGTTGGAATGCAATAGAAATTAAAATGTCCTTTTGTGGGGGGTCTGGGGGGTGCAGTAAGCCAACTGCTTTCTGTCTGTGCTTTCAATGCTTCAGGAAACCATAAGGTAGGTAGGGGAAGTCAAATGATTGCACCACATCTGAACCCTTGAAACCTCTGTGAATCTTGACAGCATTTAGCATCAGATGCAGGCAGATAAAAGATGCCAAAATGCTGTTACGAATGACATTATTTTATTTTTTATGGCTGAGTAGTATTCCATTATATAAATATACCACAACTTCTTTATCCAGTCATCTGTTGTTGGATATATAGGTTGCTTCTGTGTCTTGGCTATTGTATATAGTGCTGCTATGAATATTTAGGTGCATATATCTCTTTTCAAATTAGAGTTCCCTCTGGATATATGCCCAGGAATGGGATTGCTGGATCATATGTTAAGTCTATTTTAATTTTTGAGGAATCTCCATACTGTTCTTCATAAAGGCTGCACCAAACTACATTCCCACCAACAGTGCAGGAGGATTCCCTTTTCTCCACACTGTCTCCAGCATTTATCATTCATGGACTTTGGAATTATGGCCATTCTGACTGGTGTAAAGTGATACCTCATTGTAGTTTTGATTTGCATTTCTTTGATAATTAGTGAGATTGAGCATTTTTTCATGTGTCTATTGGCCATTTGTGTATCTTCATTAGAGAATTGCTTGTTTAGGTCTTCTGCCCATTTTTGGATTGGGTTGTTTGGTTTTTTCTTATTAAGTTGTATGAGCTGTTTACATATTCTGGAAATTAAGCCTTTGTCACTTGCATCATTTGCAAATATTTCCTCCCATTACATAGGCTGTCATTTTGTTTTGCTTATGGTTTCCTCTGCTTTGCAAAAGCTTGAAGCTTTTAAGGTTAATTAGGTCCCAG